TGTTTCAAGATGTCCTGGAGGTTTCTAAGCCTCTCCTCATTATTTTGAATTCCTGTTGCTTCATTCTTTTCTGTGTGGTTGTTTCTTTCTTCCTTCTGGTCCACTGCATTGATCTGAGTCCCAGTTTCCTTCCCATCAATGTTGGTTCCCTGTGCATTTTCCTTCATTTCACTTAGCATAGCCTTCATTTTTTCATCTAATTTTCAACCAAATTCAACCAATTCTGTGAGCATCATGATCACCAGTGCTTTGAACTGTGCATCTGATAGGTTAGCTATCTCTTAGTCACTTAATTGTATTTGTTGTGGAGCTTTGATCTGTTCTTTTGTTTGTGCCATTTTTTTTGTCTTGTGCCTATTACATGTGAGGGGTGGAACCTTAGATGTTCACCAGAGTGGGGCAACCCAGTCACTAGGGTATGTGGGGGCAGGGTCGGAGAGGGAACAATGGCACTTGCTCCGCTCTCCGTGGGACTTCAGTTCCTTCTACCACTTCCCCTCAGCAAACTGGGACTTTTTCGTGCTAATTCCTGGGTGGATGATCTTGTGCACATTCTAGGACCCTGTGGGTCTCTCCAGTGAACTCTCCTGTGAGGCTGGGAGTCTCTCCCAGTGCCTCAAACCCCTCAGTGTTTTCAATCAGTGTCCCGAGGCTCTATTTCCCAGCACTGGGACCCTGGGTTGTGCACAGTGCCTCACTTCACAATCGTCACCTTGCTGTGTCTGCTGGTTGCCACCCTGTGCCCAGGGCCTGCCAGCCGCCACCTGCACGCCCAGGTTCTGCCTGCTGTGGTCTTGCGTGCCCGAGATGCCTTAAGGACCTAGTCCCACCGTTCTTTGTGTCGTGACCCCTCTCCACCCCCTCTCCACCTGGCTTACCTGACTCTGCCTTTCCTACTGGTCTGGGTGAACATGTCTATTTTAACTCCTTGGTTGTCCAATTTCCATACAGTTCAATTTTCTGTCAGTTCTGATTGTTATTCTGTTTCTAAATTGCCGTTGTCCCTATCTTGGTTGTGCAAGGAGGCACAGTGTGTCTACCTATGCCTCCATCTTGGCCAGAAGTCTAAAGAAATAAATTTTTATCTTTGTCCTTCTTCTCTCTCTTAAGGGCATCAGATCAGTATACATGTATAGCCAAAAAAGCCAACAGTATGTTTGACACCATTAACAACAGAAATGCAAATGGAGAAACTCAGAGAAAGCTTTATTCAACCTTTTTATTTCCTTAGTATCTGGAATCCCACATATGGTGTTAGTTTCCACATACCAGAAGAGAAGTATGAAATCTAGAGAGAGGTGACCAAAAGGCAAAAGTGATAAACTGATAGTCACTTGAGACCTTACTAAAGTACTGACTTATTAGCCTTTCAGAGCTCAGGGAAACTGTACAAAATGCTTAAACCTACTCACTATTGATGATGTGAACATAAATTCCAACAGGTTAGAACAATGGGAATCTCTCTAAAACTTGTAATGAGTTAAGTTTAGGCCAAAGAAAAAGCATGACATCTTGACAACCAGATGACTTGCTAATTGAGTAGCATATGTAAGAAACCCCAAAGGATTTCTCGATCTTGGTGGAAGGCAGAGTCGTACTGCATGACTGCTAAGGGCAGCTGAGATACGCCCAGCTCTCTGATTCCATCCATCATGGAGGATATCACCTCCCTCCATGATCCTACTGATAACATCTACTCTGGCATTAATGACAAATCTCACCTTACGAAAAATATTAAACATTGCTTCCAGCAACATTTAATTCTTTTATTTTATCTGATAATCTCTCTGCATTGAGATTTGAATTCTCAGTTGAATCTGATTTGAATTTTAGCTACTGTCATGTGAGGGTTGATATTAGAAAACAAAATCCAAGATCTCAGCCCCAGCAGACAGCTGCATTTCCTCCATTCTTTTCTTAGGTTGTAACTGTAGAAACCTCTCCAAAGAATCTTGGGTACCTTTTTCTTGAAGCTCCACAGGTTGGGAAAGGCCTAAGAGATCCCTAAGCATGGTCATATTGGAGTCCATCAGCAAATGTGTCATCAGCTAATCAAATCTCCTGAAACTGATATTTGTGCATACTCTTTTTAAAAACATATGAATCAAAGCCTCTATCTCGCTTACAATGTTTTCTTTTCTATATGGAGAGTTTTGTTCTCCACAAGCCTTTTTGGACTTGATTTCAATCAAGGAGCTTATATCACTAAAGTGTGTAAGTGAGAATATTCTTCTAGAATTCTTACAGATTTTATAAAGCTAATTAAAAATACTGAGCTTGAGTTTGCATTTTTTTTTGCTAAGTAAAACATTGAAATAGCATTCTTAAGCAGGATCTCCCCAGTGCTAGAGACAAGAAAACAGCGTATGTACCACATGTTTGCACAGCAAGTACAAGGAGTCATGCTAGAATTTGCAAATCTGTGCTTTGTGTTCTGCACTGGGTCATTACTGAGTGAACTCTGAAAATAAAACTATATTTTCAATATTCTTAGATCATAGTTTGGGCAATTCTAATGCAGATTTGGAGCATTTTTCTGTGGGCATGTTTATTTTAAACCATCCTGCTTTATGAAACTTTATTTAATTTTTTTAATGAGCATTCAAATATTTATGACTATTGCACATCAAATCAGAAATGTCCTAGCTATATGCAATTTCAGAGTTGATGTCATTTCTCTGTATGTATTCTCCATTATAAAGAGCTAAGTACTGATATAACTAATAGCTGACTATTGCTTTGTGGGTTGATAGTTTCTTCTGGAAACATGCTGAAAACAACAGATTTAAAATAAAATTGTTTTTTTCTGTATTTCCTTCCTGACAAGTGGAATAACACTATACTTTGGACTGTCGTAGATCTTGTGATGGAAGTTAATGAATTTAAACTCTATTATTCCAAAGATATACATTAAGTTCTCTAGCAGGGCTATGAAATTGGATTTCAGATTCTATATTAAATTGTAACACCACAGCCTCAGTGAAGCATTTGAATTCAATATCATATGTCAGAGAGAATGTCAGGAAACCACAGCACGCACTCTCCCATTTTCTGCTGTTGCAATGACAACCTCTCTCAAGATTTTGACGAGTGTTTGCTATGTCTTATACATGGGAGTTTTTGCTAACAGAGACACTGTTACTTAGTAACACATTTTAATCCAGAATTAGTTCCTCCTGGGCCAATGCAAGCCAGAGCATCACTGAGGATAAAACTCCTATTAAATGAATGTGAATTCAGATATGCAAGGAGGATGAATTCTAGACTTGGCATAGTTCAGTATTCTCTTCTTCAGAAATGGCACTTTTGTTTCCCCTCATTATTTTGAGGGGAGACAAAATCCCCTCATGAAACCAGCAGAAAGATTACCACATGTTGTCTGTTGCTTCTAAATATTAATCAGTACCATGCTGTCTAATGCTTTAGAGAAGAATAGCATTATTTCTTTTTCTTTCCAGGGAAGCTTTTTTGATCATTTGGGACAGAATCAACTAATTTTAGAATGCCATTTTAAAAACATTCCCTTTAATTTTAGGGTGTTCAAAGATATGGGCTAAATATTGTCATGTGCTGATGGAGTTTTTTTTTCCTGCTTTAAGGAAATTTTATTTTCAGGTCTCCCTTTGGCCATATAATCATGTCTTGATCTTAAGCAAGAAATAAAATTATCTTCCAATTATAAAATGCCTCAAACAGTTAAAAGGGAAACCTTGAAGTGATTTTGATTATCTTAATTGTGCTAAAACAAAAATGTAAATATGAAATAGTTAGAAATATTTTAATAATAAATGTTCAGAATCAAAGGGTTTAAAGTAGTAAAGTCTTGACTAAATAATATAAATGCATGAATTGCTCCAGAAGTATTATATAATTCAATGTCATTGTTATCAGGATCCCAGTGTTTTGATTTCAATATTTTTTCCCTGACGCAAACACTTCTCAAAGTTATTCTAAAGGTCTCTGGGGAGGAAAATGCTCAAAACGGTTTGAAATAAAAGAAGAGTAAAGGAGAACAGTTGTGCATGCTATCATCTCAGAGCATCACAAGCCACAGTGATCATGGCAGTATTGTGTGGATACAGGACGTAACAGAGAAGCCAAAAAAAGTGTGGTTCAAAAACAGCATCGATTAGATTGTCACTCTTGGAGATGGATTAATCTTGTTCTCTGTGTAAGAAGTGAGCAGAAGATGCTGTGATAGAGACTGTTATGCTCACCAAATAACTATGTGCTCTTCTTCAATTCTGCCTTTTCAGTGGGGCCAGGCTCATATAATCATTAAGGTCAATGAGATGTATCCAGATGTGATGTCAACTGCTTCCATATCATGTTCCTTCAAACACCCCGAATAATCTAACAACCCATTCCCCTTGTCCCTTTGAATATGGAGGCCACCTGTTTCAGATGTGCCTGTAATCTGCAGGCAGCCTGGTTCTCTGAGTCACTTCTTAGAAGACAGCACTTTCAGCAAACTGCCTAGCCAGCATCACTCTGTGACAAAAGCAAAAAAAGAAGTGTTTTTTGCATTAAATAAAACTGGTAGGCAGATTAAAATGATAGAACTATGTAATCCGGCATTACAAAACAAATTTTTGTCTTAAGTGTTTAAATACTAATTGACAATTTAACTTTAAAATGATCATTAAAAAGAAGCTGCAATATAACATAATTAGTTACCAAATCTCACATTTGACCCTGACTGGTGTAGCTCAGTGGATTGAGCACAGGCTGTGAACCAAAGGGTCACTAGTTCGATGCCAAGTTGGGCACATGCCTGGGTTGCAGGCCAGGTCCCAAGTGGGGGTTACGTGAGAGTCAACCACACATTGATATTTCTCTCCCTCTCTTTCTCCCTTTCTTCCTCTGTCTCTAAATATAAATAAATAAAATATTTTTTTTAAATCATTTGGGGTAGGGGAAACTCCAAACAAAAAAATTATAAAATAATTCCCAAGAAAAAGAAGGCTATATGATTGATATTCTTCACTCTCTTTTACTAGGTATTCCAGGGCAATTTTGACAATGATACCCACAGGAAAAACGTCATCGACCCTCCCATCTATGCTCGGCACATAAGAATCCTTCCTTGGTCCTGGTATGGGAGAATCACGCTGCGGTCGGAGCTGCTGGGCTGCACAGAGGAGGAGTGAGGAGACCCACACCTACAACCCTCCTCTCTATTTTCCTCTTCTCTGTCTCCATGGAATGAACTGTGCAAAATTTATGGGAAAATGAGTGGGGTTTTTCATGAAAAAGTGCTCAAACTATGGTAGGCCACTAACTGTTTAAGGAGGTCTAAGCCTGCCTTTTCAATGCTTTAATTTGATTTTATAATTTAAAATTCTTTAGTAACATCATATTAACTGTAAATGAATTTTCTCATAGTTTTTTTTAATTATTCACACTAGTTACGAAATATTAGGGAAAGAAAGTGGCAAGGATAAAAAATCTCATAATTATCAAATAATAGCAAGAGTTGATAGAGCTTTTATAATCAATACTCATCTAGTTCTTATAAAAGGAATACTGCAATGTTAGCAATAAGGTTTTGTTCTTTTTTTCTGTAGTGAGTCTACATTATCCTAGTTGTTTCCCTGTGCCTACCAAACACTGTTAGTGTTTATAATAGAATTTTGAAGATGAATTTATAACATGCAGTACTAATTAATATTATCATTCTCATTCTACTTTTATTTCTAATTAGATGTTATGTGATTTTTTGTTCTGTTTTATAGTCTTTATATTGTATATTGCTTGAATGAGTTGATATTTTGAGTTTTTATTATTTGCCTAACATTAGTATCATATTTGCTTATATATGAAACATATTTGAAAACTGGTAGATTGATCATAATTAATATCAATAGATTGAATCTAAAATTCTATTTTTGAAGGAAGCTATGACTATGTAAATTCCAAATATTTCGAAGGAACCCACACTACCATTTAAAAAAAAGAACTAAATTGTATTATGTTCCTTTAAACCAAAATTTTATCTTCATTTTGATGATATTTATATGTCCTTATCTTTATTTTAACATAATAGAATGACAAAGGCTTTGTTTTTCTATTTTAATTTTTTTATTTAACAAACAAATGTTAACTTAGCACTGCATAGCTTGGCCGAACCTACTCATTATTTCTTTGTTTATCTCTGCACTTTCTGTGAAACCAGAATTTCATTAGGATTTGAAATTGGTGATGGTTTCCCAGGAAAGCCCATTGTATAGTTATTTGTGAGAAGAAAAGTACTTACTAATGACAAAGTAGTAACCATTTTCAAGATGAAAATTGATTTCTATTTATTTTGCTTCAAAGTTTCTGAAAAAACAAGCAATTATCATAACAATTTGTTATTGATGATGGAGGTTTCATTGACATGTTTCTCAAATTGAAGTTCACACTGCTTCCATACAAGTCTTCAGTATCTAATATGTAAGCTTTACAATTATATATTTTATAAGGCTTAGACACAGAATTGTTGGAGTTTAAAATTAGGGGTTCTGGAGAAGAAAGCATGGGATGTGTACAAAACGTTGCGGTCCTGTGCAACACTACTAAGTCTTTTTTTCTTTCATTATTTGTGCTACATAACAAAAGCCACTAGACTGTTACTGTCTTGTTTGTCTACGTGTTATTAGCATTCCTTAACAATGTGTGTATGGCGTGGTCTTCAAGTACAGTAAAGAATTTAAAGAGAAAGTCAATCATAATGGTATTTTTAATAACAGCAAAATCAAAGTAGTATGTAGCTTTTGTGTCACTTGTATCCGTGACATCAAAGTGCAGCAAATTTACTGTTTAAATTCATACTGAAACAAGTAAAATCTTGTAAGCAGAATACACAGTTTTCCCCAGTCTTCACTACACTGAGTAACTATAATATACTAATTTTATAATCTATGAAATTCAAATGTTAAACACTTCTATTTTATCTGTTTTATTAAAAGTATTTATCATAGTTACTAATTCTAATTTTAGGGTTGACTTTCTCTTTCTGAATGACTTCCTAAGGATTGGTGTGAATTTTGAAGAATTAGGATACTAATGATTGTATCTTTGGTAGTCGACAGAGTATGAAATAGAATACCGCTGGCGTCTGATGTGTCAGTACAGAAGTAACTAAGATGCAAATAACCTTTGCAAACATTCAAGCCGTGTGATATCCCAATGTTGTTGTTTTTTTTTTCTTTGTATATATACTTATACCATGTAGGCTGTTGTAAAATCAATATGACCTTGTCCAGTCTTCAAACTTAAAATAAAACTTTTGAAAATCTGGGGTAATTTTCAAGCAGTTGTAATTAAACACATTTGTAAGAATATACAAATTGTCTGAATGTGAATGCTCATTAGTCTTTAACTAGTTGCTTAGTTTAATTATTTTTTGGTACAAGACAGTTTAAAAATACAGAAAAAAATAAATTACAAATAGCCTACAAATATATATTAACACCAGCAAAATTGGCTATCCAAAATTATTAAAATGGTGTATTTCTCTCTGCTCCTTTTAGCTGTGGAAATTTTACTGAAATTCTACTAATCCAAAATCATTTCTTAACCTAATGTATATGCAAAGTACTGTGTTCCAGGATGGGTCTGCTTATTGTTAATCAGATGTTATTTCTATTGTTTTTTTAAGTAGTTGATTCTCAGTAGTATAATGAAGAGATCCAGTCAAACAAGCATTAGTAGGTATTTACTCATGTAACTTCAGCGACCATTAAAAAAAATCATAACACTTGGCTTCTTCATAAACCCTGTTTCTGCCACTCTGGAAGTCACTGGTAAAATATTAAGTCTGTGTACTTTCTACATTTCAGATATTTTCTTAGAATTTAAAAAAGAAAAAAACCTCAAGATATTAAGTGTGACTCTTTAGTTTAGCTTCAGTGGATTTCTGATTGTTCTTAGTACTAACTTGTTATATGTGTTTATATTTCCATACTTGTTCCTGCATAACTGCATTTTAATGTGAAAGGTTCAGTGGGGTTCCATTGCTTGCCTAACCTTTGCACACACAAAAATATATAGAAATATGCTTTTACTAAATAAAAACAATTATATGTATTTTTAACAAGACCAGTAAAGAATCATGACAACATATATACAGAGTAAACATTCATTGTGATAGCAGAATCATTGTTCAACAAAAAATTTTCAACTATAAAACTTCTATAATTATTGATTCAAGATGTAAAAATAATAGAAACACTCAGAATTTCAAGGATGAACGTCTGACCATATTGAAACTTGTTTTTAAAAATCTATTAGATAACTTCATGCATGGAAAATATTCTTTGTATAACTAACAATTTATAACATCTATCACTTCAGCTTTGAATACACAATGTTGAGTAAAGATTTTGGTAAAGATAAATGAATTTTTACCTTCAAAAATGCAATGTTTTCTACATCTCTCTTCCTGAAGGATAGTTTAAACAATATTAACAATGAAGTTAGTTGATTATTTTTGACAAATATTGCCTCTATCCTTTGAGATGCAAAAGGACCCTTTCATTAGAGCCAGTAGATAGAGAATTAAACCATATTGCTAGCTGAGAAATATCTGAACTACCTTGGAACAAAATGTGTTCTCATTTGTCTTTACAAAGAAAGAATACCTAGAGTAAGTACCATTTTTCTATTGATTTTGAAGAGGAGAATAGGAATCCTTGATTTTGTTCCAGGAAGTGACTATAATTTATATTGGGTGCTTCAACAGTGCCTCCAAATACAGTGTCTTCCACAGGAGGCAAGTGGCACTTACGTCAAGAGATATTTCTGTTAGATGGATTTGGTAGCAGAAATAGGAGAACTCTTTTGAAAAAGGCTCCTCGTTTAGTTGTGTTTGCACATCTTGGCAGGAGTTGATTGAATCCCTTGAAAACTAATGTTCTGGAAATATGGTATAGTGGCATCAGAAAACGGTTACCATATTACCAGGTTAAGCATTGCCTATGGTGACTGCCTCTGATTTAATTTTATTTTAATGTCCACAAAGACATGAGCCACACTTTCATATTTATGTAAAATCCCGTAGTGCCATTCATATGCCTCACTGAGTGTGTTGATAATGATGATGAATTGTGACATAAGCTCAATCTGCTGCCACCTGGAAGAGAAGCGGTGGCACTGAGATTGATGGTGCATTTGAACAGTACACCCCCCATGGCCAACATGCAAACAGCTTTGTGATAGCTTACAGGAGCATCAGGACAAAACACTGAAGAGAATGCATAGGAAGACATCTGGGAATAGACTACATGCATGTGACAGAAGGAATTTTTTCTGTGAGAAGTGACAAATTACAAAGTAAGCATGGATTCACACATATTTTATAATCATTTCACATCTTAGAGTACAGCAGAAATTTAAACAATAAATAAATAAATAAATAAATAAATAAATAAATAAATAAATAAATAAATTAAAAAAGTCCTTCCCTTTTAGTACAAGGACTGTAGCAGGTCAGCAACCCTGGCAGACATGACCAGAATGGCTCTTCTCAAGGCCAGGGGCTTTTTCCATCCAGGCCCAGGACAGAAGTATTGAGCTGAGAGTTTTAAAATGACACATGACAAAGGAAGCACTAAGTAATCAGCCTGAGGCCATTTAACTTCCTCAGTTCTCAAGTTTCTTAGGTAATAATATGGAAGAATGCTATTATTTTTCACAGCAGCATCATCCTGCTATGATGTGACTGATTTTGCCCTCCCAGTTTACATGTTGAAATCCTAACCCCAAAGGTGATGGTATAGTACATGGGACCTTTGGGAGGTGCTTAGGTCATGAGGGTGGAACCTTCACTAGTGGGATGAATGCCCTCATACAAGAGGTGCCAGAGAGATCCCTAGCTCCTTCCACCCCATGAGGACACAGAAAGAAGTCAAGATCTATGAACTGGGATTCAGGCTTTTACCTGCCAATGCTGGCACATTGAACTTGGACTTCTCAGCTTCCAGAAGTGTGAGAAACTTATTTAATTTATGTTGTTTATAACTTACCCAGTAGGTGGTATTTCGTGATAGCAGCCTAAATGAACTAAGATACATCCCAGATGAAGAACCTGTTTTTAATACTATAAATAACTTTATAAGTGGCTTGGGTTGTAGAATAAGACTTCAAGAGCCATGTTTAAACAATAGCTAAATGTCTTTTAAACTTCCAGTAAAAAGAAATTGGTGGGTCAGGACTAATATTTTTAATGAAATACAGTAAGGAGTGGAGGGGGAGCAGTGGAGAGGGAGGAAAGGAATGAGTCCACTGTAAACTTTTTCATAAGACATTTTTATTTCACTTAAACTTCTGTTTAGATTATAGTGCAAAATAGTTTTCTCACTCTGAGACAGATGTTAAAGCTTGAAAACCACTGCAGCATTGCCACTTTTCTGAGCAAGTGGTGTCTCCTAGCTGCCTGGCATGCTGGCAGCCGTAGTGAGTTTAGAGCCAGAACTAGAAGGGTCCTGTCAGTATGGGGCTGTCGCAGGCCTGGTGGGGACAAAAACGAGTGTGGTGCTGGAGGCCTGAGAGGCTTTTTAAGAAAACAAAGATAAGACACAGAGAATTATGTGAATGTTTTTCTCCATGGTGGATGCATCACTTTGCCTTTCTCTCTGTAAAATATGTAAGAAAATACAGGTTTTTCCTATTGTGTTTCATTGCTTTATTCTGCTTCAGAAGAGGCCCTGCCACTGGGGTTAAACATAATGCAGATCCCTAAGTTGTTTTATTTGGTTCTCTGTTTTAATAGTCTTTGATGCTTGTGTTTTTTTAATGGCTTTTTCTACACTCACTTCTAGTTAAAAAATTCATATTCTGATTCTCTGTACACCCTCTTTCTAACCTTCTAACCCTATCTTTAAGAAATTCATACTACTGATTTCTTGCTTGAGAATTTTCTTAAGTAAAACTAATATCAAAAACACAACTCCAATTATAGCATTTGGTTGTAATTCAGGTCCTGTAAAATATTAAAATGTTTTCACTTTCACTGGAGATATAAATAAAAGCTAAATTCTTTTTTAACTAACACTATAGAAACTACTATATTAATATTAAGATTACCCAAGCCCTTTCATAAAATTATTCTTTGAGCAAAATTTAAGTACTATTCAAGGTTCTGAAAATACAGAGATGAAATACTAGCTTTTAGGAGCTCCCAGTCTGGAGGGCAAGAGAGGGGGATAAACAAGGAAGTAACAATCACCCTACATTGGGTGCTATGAGAAAAAAATGCTCCAGTTACAAAGAGGACATTCAACAGAAGCACCTACCACCAGTAAATGAAGCAGGTCGGGGAAGATGCCGTAGGGGAGGGGACAGCTGAAATGACACCAAAGCTGTCTAATTTAATATTCATGACACATGAATCATCCGATTTACTCTAATGACAACTCTAGGAAGAATGGATTAACACGTCCTCTTCATAAGAGGAGAGAGAGAAGGTGAAAGCGGTTAGGAGATATTCCCAGGTCTCAGGGCTCTCATTTCTGCCTGGATCACATGACATCTGCCTTCCAGTTCAATATCAGTTTACTTCTTTCAAGTCAAATGGTGTGCAAGTGCCTTTCATCACATCCTAGTACGTTAACAACAGGAATGGTTTGCCTCCAACCAAGAATGTATTGTTTATTCTGCAATTTCTTATATTGTTCTAAAGAATTTCATATTACAAATATTACCTAATAATATAAATATTTGAAATAATTAATTATTGGGTGAAGTGCTGGTCATCACATGAACATATGAAGAAAGATCCCCAAATTACTGAGAAACTAATAACTACTATGAGGTATCTGATGCATTAATTTTGTAAAGATGAGTAATAAGCCCAAAATGTCAAAGCATCTGCTATCCCTAGGTACAGTAAAGGCCTATTCCCATGTGGATAATATCAGGTATTTAATGCAATAATAAAATACATATATTTATGAAAAATTTTTAAGTATCTTTTATAGTTAAGAAAAAACACAGGTATTTCCACTTTTAAAAAAGAATTCTAAATAAATCAAAGAAAACAAATCACCTTTTCTTGGGTTCTAGTTTCCAATATTTGAGCCAGCATACTCTTGACTAGAAAAGTATCTGAGTAGTGAATAATATCTTAGGCAGTATAGTGTGGGTGCTAACACAATGTGAGGAACAACAAATAAATGACATTATATTTTTATTCTCCAGTGATTTCAACTAGTAGAATTAGGAGCATAGTCAGTGCAACCTCATGCAATCTGTAAATTAAATTTCTATAACTTGATTTAAATAGCCAATTCACTGTCAATTAATTATCAGTGAACCAGAATAAGCTGAAAGAATTTTTAGACAAATGTAATTGAAGGAACACAAATTCTGGGATGCATTTCTTAAAGTTTGTCTGTCTAGGTTGTACTCATACAATATCTAAAAGTGTTCAAGAAAGAATGGTATAGCCTAAGGTAAGTCTAAAATTCTAATGGTCAGTGATTCTTACCTCTAATATATGAATTATGTCTTTGCCAAAGTGGAATTCATATATTTCATTAACATAAAAAAAACTGGTATTGTGGTCTTTTTACAAATTTTCTGTTCTTGTTCTTTCCAGGAAAAAGAAAACATCCTTGCTCTTTAATTTTTTTTAAACCTACCCAGTATTTTAAATAATCTTCTGAAAATGTAAAGAATCAGACTAGTAAGTCACTTGGAATGTAGTGAAAAGCTCATTTACAATCCTTATTTTGTTTATCCTTTTGGAGGCTTATGTTAGAGCAGAACCTATAGGCTGGAAGGACATTCCACTTGTAGTCTAATGGGAGTACCTGATTATCTCTAATGTATTGATATTTCTGCACAGTACATTATTCTGGTTCTCGCTTTGGGCGATCCTTTTCCTTCTTGAGTCCAATGTCGTATACATATTCCTCTTTCTTTTTTAAAAACCATTTTCACAGTAAATAATGATTTGAAACCTGTGCTTCAGGCACTCTCTCATCTAAGAAATTTATTTAGTGTCTGCTAAAGTAAAAACAAAACAAAACATGGAAGTACCAAGGATAAAATTTATGTCCAGGGCATGTGTGTGTAGCTGAGCCAATGGCACCATGCACCAAGCAGATAGACCAGGAGATATGAGTGAGGGATCAAACCCAGCCTCTTGTGCACTAGGAAAGCTACAACAAAATTCTGAGGCAGTTCTGTCTGTAGAAGGTAGATGTCACATTCCCAGAAGAGGCCTCTTTCATTAATTATAATAAACGTCTAATGTGCTGGGGACAGAGGCTTGACTAGTTCCAATGCCTGCCTACCATTTTTATTAAAGGCAGTCTTGCATATGGGACATTATCAATACTTCAGAGTTTCTCAATATATATTTAGCATATT